CTTGTCACTCACTGAACCTGTGGCCCGCCACTTTTTCAGAAGCCTGTTTACACACGACTTTGTGGGAACTGGCGAGTCAGGATATTTCTGACGAAACCTACGTGCGAATTTTCTGTAAATGTTTTTCCTTGCAATAGTTTCGACAATAAACACACGCTGTTTAATAGTGAACTTCATTTCCACCGTCTGTCGACAGCTGTAAACATTCCACTCCACTTCCACAGCAAGACAAAGACTGACTGTTTAATGCAACCTCGGGTTCCGATTATGCAACCATCGGCGTAGGAGCACTGCAGTCGCGGGGAGGAGTTGCATCCGTTCTGCGGTGGTATGACTCACGGCAAATTGCAGCCGCGGCGCGCACTTGATTGTACGCACTGTATTATTAGAAAAGTGATTCAAGGAATCTGAAGGCTGTCAACTGCAGGCCCTTAGTGTGTAACTGGATAACCGTACTGAAACTGAAGTCAACACATTTCAGAGAGGAACAGTAGAACTAGTGGCACACATGTGAACAGAAACATGTTTCACGTAGTATAGATTGAATATGTAAAATGTGGAAAGTGAAGCTGCGTTATTGACACAGAGACCTTCTCTCTCAGGACTGACAACCTTCAAATAAAGACCTTAGAAATCACATCAGAGCATAAGTATGTATGTAATAGGAAGTGCCATATAAATTGTCAGCATAACACATGCACAGAATGTCTTATAAATGTTCAGGATATCAAATCATGTCATATATGCTTAGAAATTTGTCAGGATAGAAGAATGTAACACACATTCACAATACATATACATTACTCATAATGCTGTAATTTAAATTTGGATCTGAATTCTTGGAGCTTCTTGAAGTGCCAAAAATCAATGCTGACCATATCATGTATGTTGAAAATAATTCCCCCACTTTCCACATCTTTTAGTCCATATAAGCAACAGACACCTGTGTGTGAGCAGTTTGCCCATGGTGGAACTGCATTTCAGACCATTCATTCATTCATTCATCCATCCATCCATCCATCAATGCCTGTACAGCCCTTTGTTGGGCCCTGGCCACAGTCTCAGTTTTGTAATCCTCAACACAGTCAGTAGGACTCCTTTGGCAGGGGATAAGCCCATTGCAAGGCTGCCACCTACACACAGGACAGAACAGACAGAATAAATGCACACAGATCCCACGATACCAGTGTCCAGGTGGGCGAAGACAGTTCATGCCTTAGGCTGTGCAGCCACTGTGATTGATATTCAGACAGTATACTGAATGTTTCAGGTATAGGGTCGATACATCAACTTCGGGATCACGAAGACTGGCCAGATCCTCCCGCAAGTACTGAAGATGAGGCTGTGTCACCTTTCAGCGATTCATACTGTGATTCCTCAGCCACAAATGAGCATGAGGAATGTCATTATCTCCATCCAGGTCTACATGGCAGAAACATGACTCCCAATGGCACATATGTTATTCGGAAAGGTCGGAAGAAGGACAGGAAGGCCGTGGAATGTGTGATACAAACCCCAGAACTTGTGGAGAGTGACCAGCAGCCCAGACTTGGGGACCTGAAGCGGTGCAGCTCAACATTTGACAACATCAAGTCCCTGCTCAGAGAAGGACTCCTAGAGGGACTGGATGAAGCTCCTCCAGACTTTTCCCCTCCAGCACCCCCAGGGCTTGTACGAGTTGTTTCTCTGCCTAGCTTGGCCAGTGAGGGTTCCCATCGCCATGAGTTCTTAAGTGGTCCACGCCATCATGTTAGGGATGACATTCATCACCGCTCCAAAGGTGATGTCCGTCGCCTTTCAAGAACACACGAACTGGCTGTCACCTTGGAGGAAGAGGAAGATTCGCCGTATAGCTTCAACCTAGGTGACGATTTCACAGAATCGGATGTGAATGAGGAAGAGAGAAGATTAATCGAACAGCTGGAGAAGCAGCAACTGAGTACAAGTTCAGAGTCGCTGCCTGTGGGAGACAGGCTTTTCCCTCAAGAATATCAGCTTAAAGAGATTAGAATGAACTGTGAATCAGTGTCCCATGTGCAAGATGATTCAATGGATTGTAGAGAGTCACAAAATCATTTTCAGCTTCATAAGAACAGAAATCCTAGCAGTTCTTCTGATGATATGCCTGAAGAAACAGAGACACGGAATTCTCAGGGCAGAAAGACATCTGGAGGTAAACAAAAACAGAAACATGCTACCACAGTAGAGTCAGATGCACAGTGGTCTACAGCTTCAGAAATGGGCAGCCATATCCGTGTGGTGCCTGTTGTGCCAAAGGATGAGTTCAATGGAATCTCAGACGGAGGTTCTGAGTGTGGAAAAGACATGTCAACAACAGTGGATGTGTCTGAACATGAATTCCCGCCCCTTCCACCATCTCCTGTTGAAGAGGATGATGACGAGTACTCAGAGATCCTGCATCCCAGTCCTGCTGAGACTCCAAATGATAAGGCCAGTACTCTGCCAGAACCTTTCTACCGCAGCCTTGAGCCGCCAGGCAGTGACCCTTGTGGCATGCGCTTCCTCAACCGGCCGTGCCCTCCGGAGCCTCCCCCACATCAGGAACCGATGTCCAGCCTCAAGACACGGTCCATGGATGCTGGTTTCAGCAAAGGCTACCACAACCACAGTTCCGGTTCCAGGAGAGAGGTGGGTTAGATTGTGGGCAGTAGAAATTATCATCAGATATCCAAAGTCATAAAGATTAAAAGAGACACAGAACTATAATTTTGCCTGTAGTTTTGTATGCGTGTGATCTTGCCCTCTTACATTAAGGAAATGACACAGACTGAGGGTGTTTGAGAACAGGGTGCTGATGGGGATGTTTAGATCTGAGACTGACTGGACAAAGGAGGAAATCACATAACGAGGAGCTTCATGGCCTGTACATCTTCATTAGATGTTATTGAGGTGATAAAATCAAGGATGAGATGGGCAGGACATGTGGCACATAGGAGAGAAAGGGAATGCATAGAAAGTTTTTGTAGGAAAATCTGAACTAAAGAGACCATTAGGAAGACCTAGGCATAGATGGGAGATAGAGCAGATGTTATGAAAGAGGTGGGAGGGTGTGTAATGGATTTTAATTTGTTTCGGGGTAGCAACCAATTGTGGACTCTTTGAATGTAGTAATGAACCTTCAAGTTCCATAAAATACTGGAAATTTCTTGAGTAGCTCATCACCTTAGTTTCTTAAGAGTGACTCCGCCCCAAGAAGTTAGCTGGTTGAGAGGCGAGTCAATTAGTATGAACAGATCCGAGGCACCAAGCACAGTAATGTGTCAGCTTTAGACATGAATAATTCCACATGGCTGACTCTATTGTGAACTGCAGCTAACGCTTTATTTACTTTTTGGGGCTTCTTATCATGCACACAGAATGTTCACATCTATATCACTAGTCCATAAAACACAGGTAAAATGTTGAATAAGTGACTGTAACAGGGTGCCACAAATGTCACCAGAATCATAAGTGGACAAAAAAGGAAGCAGAAATTCTCGCGTTTACTCACGTTTTTTTCACAGACTAACCCCCTTAGTTATCATAGGGGACAGCAGAAATATGGAAGAGAATGAGTGTCCTTTTGTCTGACAGTTTCACGAATAACTGACAGTGGCATTGGGGGTCTCTAAGAATATGTTCACGTCAAACTTTCTTCTAAATCATGTCAGAAGCCAGAGAAGATGCTTGTATCGCTAAGTAAATTTGGAGACTGGAATGAGACTTTTACAAATGTGACATAGGGTCATTAGCAATAATTGTTACTAGTATTTTATGTTGATCATATTTGGCGGTATCAGAAACAGCATTAAACTTAAAAAGCCCACTTATTTTATTTTTAGGCATAGGCAAGAGAGATGTGAGCCTGGAATGATGAAAAGGCGGCTCTAAAATGTCTCTACAATAATACTTTACAAAATATCTTTTTAATATTCCAGTATTTCAGTAGTAATGGATGCAAAGAGTACTAAATTTCAAGCTAATATAGTTTGCTTCTTCAACACAGGTTCCTCCAGAAAGACGGACATTACCATCAGAATTGCCAGGGCCTTTGCGGTGCCGAACATTCCAAAAGCGCTCCACGCAATCTCCACGAGAGGAAACGTTGCAAACGTCTTGTTCACTTCCCGAGACACCCATCTTTGCTAGAGGTTGTGATATTCCTCGGACCCCTCACCGCAGAGCCCCTGATATTCCAGGTGTGGCTCGAACAGCTCCCCGACCAGGTGGACTTGCCACAGGTGGCTACAGACGAACTGGGGCAGGCCCACTATTGGGTCATGGTACAGGTGTTGCACTGGGATCTGGAGGATTGAACCAGGCACTTGTGGGTGCTGAGCTTCTGCGACTGGCAGGTGGACCAGGTCGAGGCTGGTACCCAAGACATCGACAGCATCGCCCTGCCTCCATTGAGCATCTTGATCGCCTTGCACCTGGCCAGAGTCCAGGACACAGCACTCCTAGTCCCTGGGAGTTACGAGACACCAGGAAACCTCTTACACTGCCTCCAAATCTATCGCCCAAGTTCTTCCATCGTTCGCCACGTGAGGCACTCAGAAGAGTCACCAGCCTTCTGATCAGGAAAGGTAAGTCTCATAACCAGCCATTTTCTTTGTACAGCAGTAGGTCATGATGTATTCACACAGTGAAACAGAGTAATGTTGCTGTGGTATTGATTTCATGCCAAGGAGATAATGGTCATTCTCCTTACAGTTGGGCCCATTTTTGAGCCTTCTTTATGAAGTGAAGTAAGAATCACTTGTGTGGGGTTCATGTCTGTCGATATTCCATGATGTATTATCAGTGCTTATGCTCTTGGGACAGATCTGAGTTTCAGCCATACTTATCCACAGAATTATGCCTGATTTACGTAAAGCCATGAATGGATATCTCCATGTGTCCTATAAAAGCCTTCCACAGATTTTATTGAAAGCATTATGTAAGTCTCGTTTAATTTCCACATTTTTAAGTAAAAAAAAAAAGTAAAGCTATCCCTGTAACAGGCCGTGAGATGTTGAGGGTCCCACATTATCTAGACAGTCGGCTCAAAGATGGCAATAAGGTTGTCAGCATTATGTGTCGGCCGCCCTTTACTCCCAAGGAAAATTATTTGATTAATTCCTGGTACTCATTTCTGTTAGAGGCTGAGTTGACCCCAAGGCTATAGTGCAGCTGGAAGGATTAGGTCAACTGGAAAAAAAAATCCATGGCGTCATTGGGACTTGAACCCGCGACCTTCAGCTTGTAGCATAGTGCCTCTACCAACTATGCTACCACATGCCCCCATTTTTAAGTAATCTTAATAAAGTTAAGAGAATGCTGTTGGTAATTTTGTGCACTAAACTGAGGAGTACAGTGTTAGATTTGAAGTTGTGGTGGCGGCAAGCAGTATGATTTTGTTGATGATAACAAGGAACTGGCAAGCAGAGCAGTGCTTGCTGGTTTTATACCTGGCTTACATTTCTGATCAAATGATGGATGCAGTGTGTTCATTTGAAACATCATGATTTTCCCAAATTGCATTTTGTTGCAGTCAAGGCAACTGTCTTGTTATCGGTAACACTGACTCGATAATAAACTGAAAGCAGAATGGCCCAAGCAGTGATTTGCCTGACCTGTATTCAGGAGATTTGTTGAATTGAATCAGAGGGAGGAGAGGAGCTGAGCTTTTGTGTTACTTCTCTGACCCTCCAGACAACATCAAAAGCCTGGTTCTGCCTTCACTGTTCGTAGCGCACCACTGCAGAGCTAGTGCACTTGCTAGCTCTGAACTGGATACCATATTACGAGGGAGAGTCAGTAAATAGGTCACAAATGGATATTAAACTTAAAACATTATATTTGAACTTAGAAAAAACATTTATTTCTCGACATATCCTCCACCAACACTGATACCCTTACTTGTCCCAGCGCCTTACCATTGCCTCGAAGCCTGCAGCATGAAAGTCTTTTCACTGTTGTCTCAGCCACTTCTACACCTCCAATTCAACCTGTTCATCATCAGCAAAGTGTTTGCCAACAGGGTGGTTTCTAGCAGACCAAACAGACGTGACAGACACTTCCCATCATAAACAGAAAACATGTCTTATGAATATCATTTGCATTGAGTCCGTTTGCCTACAGAAAAACGCACAACAGAATGCCGCTTATCAGTAGTACAATCTCAAGCATGGTCATCATTTTGACTACTAAAACCAGCCTCTGAACATGCACATCTGCTACCTACACTCTCTTGAAGCTGGACTGTGCTGCTTCCTAGTGATACACATAGAAAAACTATTATGTCCATTGCAGATGTTTTACTTCAATTTGTGACCTATTTACTGATTCTCCCTTGTAAATAGGTCTCAAGCTGATTATGGCTATTCTTTTGGACTTTGTCCATTTTTCCTGTTTATTTAGAAAAAACTGTTTTGAAATTTGATTATGTTTCTGTTATCAGGTAAGCAAGTACTCTAATCTGTTGGGTCTCAACTTATATCAATCAAATCCACAAACTGTATGTTAAATTTACAGATGGAACAAGAGTTGATATGTGAACCAGAATTTGAATATATATATTTTCCAAATTTTAAAACACATATTTTTGCAAATGCCTGTTTTGTGATATTACAGTTATTGCACATACAAATATATTTTCCCACACCACCATTGCTGAACTTAAGAAATGAAAATTTTGTGCTTTAGGGTTTCAGAAACAGTGAATTAAATCACATTGCATTGTATAAAATATTCAGCATATTAAGAGTTGTTTCATGTAGGTCTGTAGTCTACAAAGGTAAAAATGTAAAGCTATCCCTGTAACAGACTGTGAAGGCGACATGGTTGTGAGATGTCGAGACTCCCACATCTGCTAGACAGTCACCTCACAGATGGTGGTGAGGTTGTCGGCCTTACTCACCAGCTGCCCTTTACACCCAGGAAGATTCCTGGTTTATATTTCTGTTAGAGGCTGGATCAACCCCAGGGCAGTAGTAACGCTGGAAGGTTTAGGTCAACTGAAAAATTCAGCTGACCTCATCAGGTATCGAATCCAATGCCTTCCGGCCTGTAGTATAGTGCCTCACCCACTATGCTACCGCATGCCCTGTCTGTAGTCTACAGTACATGCATTTTTTTTTATATTTTTTTATTGCTAAGAAATCTAATAAGTTTTATTTGTGCTTCATGTAACATAGTAACTATTTTGCAGTGGTTTGAAGAGACATGAAATTTATTCCTCATTAGTTATTAACTGTCTTATGTGCAACTAGCTTTTTAAAGCGCTTAAAAGTTGTACACTTTAAGATCTCTTCTACATCAAGACAGCAGCACACACAACTTATGTAAAACAGAATCAGACTAGCTTAGCAAACATTCATAAGAGCTACATACTACACAATAAGAGGAACCACCCATCATCATAGGACACCTGGCTGCACAGATGAGGGCATACCCCAGAAATTGAACATACATATGGAAGTACAGGGTTTCATCAAAAAATACATATGGAAGTACAGGGTTTCATCAAAAAGTGTAGACACACCTGAACATGACCAATGTTGGTTGAAACATGTAGCATGCATACACCAGCGATGTAGAAGAGATTCAAAGTTTAAAATTTCTAAAAGGTTTTAAAAAGCAAGTTGTGTTTAAGTAAAGTAAAAGTAAAGCTATCCCTGTAACAGGCTGATAAGGTTGCGAGATGTTGAGGTTCCCACATTTTCTAGACAGTCGGCAGCAGGGTTGTCAGCCTTACATGCTGGCCGCCCTTTACCCCCAAGAATATTTCGAGAAAATTCCTGGTACTATTTTCTGTTAAAGGCTGAGTCGACCCCAGGGTCATAGTGCGGCTGGAAGGATTAGGTCAATTGCATTTGCGTGTAAGACAGTTAATAACTGACAAGTGATGTTACAATATAATGCCGTAAACCCTTGCTGATCCGATTACAGTTCAGAGCAACATATGAAAAATGCTGTTCACAGTTGAGTACATACTTTAAAAGACACATGGCGTTCAGGAAGGCATATGAGTTGCTTTGTTATATCTTTGACAATTTCTACAAATCTGCATCATTATGTTCAAAACAACACAAATTCCAAGTCTTCTGTCAATGAATGAATCTATTTTCTTTTTATAGTTATTAAATAAAGGCTCTACAGTGATATTTATTATTTATTTTCATTAGTACTATTTATAAAGCTATACACCCACTCCCCCATACATCATCATGGCATAGTGCTTAATTAGTTAGGCACAGGGACAAATTTACCTTGCTACTTATACTATATCATTAAATTTTCCTTTTATATGTGATTATGGTTTTATTTTGCTTCACTAATTTGGATTATCACTTACTTGGGATGACTTCTCCCCTCACCCCCAGTTACTCTGGATTAACAGGGGTTTACAGTATTATGAACAGACATGAAATGTTCATTGTGGATCCCTAGTACCAAATTTCATTGAAATTCGTTCTGTTACTTTTACAGTTGTAACACATGGACAGATGCATATCAGGCAGTTGACTCTGTCTCCATAGGCATCCGCACCTATTAGTATCAAGAAGAAATAGCTTTCAGTAACAGTTTCGTCTTTCCAGTGTTTGTATTCTCATAGCCAGAGCTGAGTGTGCAGGTTTAGCTGTCAGGACTAGAGCCCATTGAATCTTGAGGGTTCATGTTTTTGGGAGGGAATCTGGCAACCCTATTGGCTATTATCCCACTCCATGTTCATCCAGTCATGGCTTCACCCCTGACACCATTGATTTTTGTAGGGCTGTAGGTGGGTGAGAACATTTCACATTTGCAAAACAAAAAAAAAAAATAGATATCAGCGTTTCAGCATTTGGGTGCCCCTCAGATTGCGTTGCTGTAAAACCGTAGTTCATTTTGTGTGCGTATGCATGCACGCACGCATGCGTGCGCGTGCACACACACACACTTGATGGAGCATCAGTGGCTGCTGTACCGAGTGGAGCCAGTTGGACTCCACACCCACTAAGCAAATTACTTTTGGAGCTGATCCCTTCTTGAGGAGAAGCCAAATCTGCAGGTACTCAAGAGTTTCCCAGCATTCTATGGAACCTGAAGGTTCATCACCGTGTTCACAAGAGCCCTCCACTGGTCCCTATCCTGAGCCAGATCAATCCATACCATCCAATACTATCTCTCTAAGATAAATTTTAATATTGTCCACCCACGTACGCCTTGATCTTCCCAGTGGTCGCTTTCCTTCTGGCTTTCCCACCAATATCCTATATGCATTCCTTTTCTCCCCCATTTGTGCTACATGCCCTGCCCACCTCATCCTCCTTGACTTGATCATTCTAATTATACTTGGAGAGGAGTACAAGTTATGAAGCCTCTCATTATGCAGTTTTCTCCAACCTCCTGTCATGTCATCCCTCTTTGGTCCAAATATTCTCCTCAACATCCTGTTGTCAAACACCCTCGGTCTCTATTCCTCCTTTAATGTCAGAGACCACCTTTCATAAACCTTACAGAACCACAGTCAAAATTATAGTTTTGTATATTCTAAATTTTATGTTTTTGGACAGCAGATGAGAAGACGAAAGGTTCTGGACTGAATGGTAGCAAGCATTAC